TGAATACACTAATTTATATTGGATTTACTCACATTTGGTGATCTATTGACAATTATCACAGAGTGGAAATTCACAGAATTACCATACAAAACCCAAGCTAGGAATTTCACAGTAAATTATTACAAGGATAAATGTCACATCGCAATAAACCAATGTTGTAACCAAACAAAATAGCACGCTGAAGACAAAACAAGTACAACACTTTGTAATAACCATATTGTGTCAAACATTAAAGTAGTTTTGATTGAAAATCACGAGCTGAATCGTAACTTCGCCTTTTAATCATGTCGGGTCACATGCAAACGTTTAATGCATGATTATTGTGAAGCGAGGATGTTTTCTACCTTTCTAGTGTAAAATATGTATATTTTTAATGCACAAGATACTTCATATCCTTTTTCACTATGATTACCTTGTTCACTAATGTTACTAATTCATTCAGTTAGTATTTCAATATCTAAAATAAACACTTCCAAAAGTAATGCCAGAAACGATCCAATGTTAAACATTAACTACATGAACCTATGCTGAAATTGAACTAAAAAAGTTGTTCGATAGTTGGAGGTAGTCGGTAAAAGATCCTGTATCTGGGTTTCTTGACATTCGCTACTTATCAACAATATTTACTTTTAATCTTGAAGGAACTGATTATACCCAGCGGATTCGAACTCACGTCATTCAGCTGAAGTGGTAACACTGCACTGTTCGGGCTGCAGACAAACATAACTATTATACATATTCTTGTTTAACACCTTAATGGTGACCCAAGTAGCTCAGTGGTAACAACGCAGGCTGTGAAAATGTGACATTGTGATGAATCCACCACCAAGCACCAGTTCCTTTAGGATCATAGTCACGCCTTGCTGATGAGTTCTAAACAGCATTTTATCTGGTTCCACAGTTTTCTGCCTACTACTTCCAACCACCTGACATCTTATCATTATGTATACAGTGTGAGTTATTTAAGCAGCTCGATCGACAGGATCTGATCACACTAAGAAACAAGATAAATATTACACCAATCACTAATCAGACATATGTTAATCATAAACTTATGGATCTATTGATATTATCTTCATCTTAGAGACAGAATAGAATACACTTATGTTTCTCTCCATCAATTCTTCAAGAAATTCCATTATCTTAATCCAATATAGATAATTTGTTCATGTGGCCGACAAACTATGGAATGAGTAGAATTTTTAAGAATTTAAAATCCTCTTTGAAGTAACTGTATGTGTTGTGGATTGATAAGTATAAATTAAATTCTTACGACAAACCAAAGGTCTCTTGATAGCTGTATTGTTCTGATATTTTATTTCTCTGAAAACTGTAATGATCACTTAGATCCAATATGATAAAAGGGATTTAATGACCCAGTGTGAGTAACCCACAGAATTGATTTCTTCCATTCCACTATGACACTTAATCATGTATATATTCCAGTTCATATGTGTTATTCTGTTACATGGAAAAATCTGTTCACTTAGGTTTGATTTCAAATTTTTCGGAGGCTAACAATAATAATTTGATCTTGTGAGAAGACATTGCTCGGACCTTTCATATCATGAAATTTTATTTATGAAGTATTATCCTTTTCTTTCTTAAAAACAAATGAACACTCATTCGTAAAATCCTACTCCATAGCATGATCTCGTGACACAAAACTTACGATGCAGTTATCGCATCAGAATACAATGTTAATGTCAATGAGAATTTACCGACAGAATTGACTTGACGCATTTGATGTAAGTGACAACATATCATTAAAGAGTTTCGAATCCATCTCATAACTATATTGAATAGAAAAATCACTCGTGATAGTTGCTGCCTTAGCTGCTTTGTAAAATGTTTTAAACGCATGAGTTTTTTTGTTACGTATATAACATTTTGAAATAAATCGTTTACACCATAGGAAGGAAAACGTTTATTGTAACTGAAGTATGAACAATAAACCTCATAGTTTGATTCCATCATATATGATTAAAGTCAAGTAAATGATCATCACCATAATCTTAGTACATAATCGCGAGTAGGTTTTGTGGAATTTTGACGAATGTAGGTATTCTTCGTTGAAATGTCAAACATTAATTGAATTATTTCAGCCTTTCGATTAAAACCATTCAACAACAAAAATAAACATTTTACTGCAGAAATCAAAAGGTTTATATATAGCGTAAATTACATTTTAATTTCACTAGCGGTTGTTCATCGAAAACAAACTTCTCAATGAATTCAAAAACTTACTTAAGATTCACCAAACTAACTATATCATGTTCAATGCTTCTAAAAGTGATGATATTTAACTTCGAATAGAATGTAGTTTGTTCTACTGTCAAGTAATAGATAGTATATACCAGAAAGTGGTTTAAATAAAATTGAATTAGTGTGATTATTAGTAGTGTTTTTGAGCCTAATCTCTTTTCACCATTTTGATTGATTTTTAGAGACGTACTGGGCACTGTCAACTTTATTTATGCTGCAGTCTATCGTAAAGCTTTTTAATTAAATGTAACTAACCATTTATTAACTTTCAAATCACTACCGTTACTTCTGGAAACTTAGAAAACTGCTATATTAACCAGTGTTCACACTTTTAAGGAGTCATCAAGTTTTTATTGGTTGTCCTTCATTAATATCTTGTTTCAGTACTGCATAAATATATGCAAATGAATTACCTAATAGATGTGAACTATTACTGTGTCTAACTTCCATGTAACAAACATTGTTCAGTATATTTGTCTTAACTGAATAAAGCGATTCAAAACAGCACACGTTATTCTCAGGATAGTGCATCCAAGTTCAGGATTGCTCAGTAGAATGTTTATTTGTTCTAACATTAACCATCATAGGTTACAGTCTACGAAGTACCACCAAGGTTTTTCAAGATTTTGAATAAATATTTTTGATTAATGTCAACAACTTTGGAACATTTACCAAGAAAGCAACTCCCCAAATGCTCCAACCATCTAGATGCACTACAAAATACTTTATAGTGTCAAATTACCTACCAATCGGTCTAAGAACACAACTGGTTACTATTTTCTCTGCCCCATACAACATTATAAACGATGGGCTCTGAGCCTCGATTAAGGCCTGAACGTAGTACGGATAACAATGTAGGGACAAATCGTAAAATTCCTTAAAGTGTAGTGATAAAACCAAAATAAAGGTTTATTGACCTTTTGATGGTTGGTGTTAGATTAAAAATAGGGCTTGCCATTTAATGGCCTGTGCTCTAACTCCAATATTTACAAACAATTAAATATGCAATGAAATTAATCCTCCCTTCACTTTCTGTACATCATACATACGCAAACTCCGTTTGTGCGACGGCGGCAATAAGAAGCCGAATACGGTTTGGTGGACGAGTTTATTTTATGCATTCATTTAAGCAGACAGACGAGAATAAAAATTGTACAACCAAAGCGAAGTGAAAAAGGCGAGTGAGCCAATTTAGCGCGATGAAGTTTGACTAAATATTTAGTCAGGTAATAATAGGGTAGATATGTAATAAGCGAAGTAAACATGCACGCACACTAGAATAAAAACAACCAAGATATGAGTGAACAATTGATAAGGTTGGAAGACGAGTGAAATGCTCGAGAAGAGTGGATTAAACTGACCAAAGGCTTAGACCAAGCCCTGTGATATTTAACTTGAAGAAACTTTTAGGAATGCCAACATTTTCATTCCATTAATTATGAATTGATATTAACTAATGAGTAATTGAAGATAAAATCATGAAACGATAGATAACTGATATTTGAGTTTGCTCATCTGAGTGGATTATCCACTAACGTTATCGAGAGATGATTTTACTAAATTTACTGAATAAAGCCAGAGAAAAACATTAGTCCTGTACAGGCTCTCTACTCGAACACTACTGGTCGAGTCAGCACTTATGGCGAATTGTCATCAGAATTGCTTACTTTAAGTGGTGTCCGTCGGCGTCGTCCACTCTCCCCATTCTTATTGAACTTCATCATCGACATGCTGTTATCGTCTGACTTTTCAGCTGACCTTCTACCAGGAGACTCGTTTGTTGACTTCCAAGTTATTATTCTGAGATATTCTGTATCCAATTCGATCAGTAATGAAATCTTGTTAGGAATGTACTAAACGATTAACATTAAAGCCAAGTTCCTTCTTCGACTACGAAAAATGTACCCAAAAGCAAACTTAGCATGTTAGTGATTTTGTATGACATGAGTGAAATTATTACGCTTAAAGCGTGTTAGTATGACATATATTCCATATAGACAGCCGAAAACTAACCTGTACAACAACAAAGCTAACTAGATCAAGGTCTAACAGGCAAGTTTTCTGGCGCATTCAGATCAATTTAAATCGACTGTATGATAAGACTTAGAATGGAATCGATTTTATATCCATAGCTTTACTTTGATAATTATATATCCATACTTTCAAATAATAGTAATGGTAATAATAGTAATAATACTGGTAATAAAATATTTCAGTGAATAAGAAATAGCAACAAAAGATTTAAAATTAATCATCGTTTTTATGTGTAATTAAGAAAAATGTCATGTGTTAATCAAACAATGTAATTTTCTATAATCAATTCAATGTGGTAAAAGTGAGAAAGTGTAGAATACATAGTCAATTAGATAAATGAGTAGATATACACGTAAGAGATAAGGTTCAAGCAGTAAAGAAAAACCAGTAGTGTGTGCCAAACACGATTTTCTAAGAAAAATAATAAGTTAGAAGTATGTGCTGAAAAATTAATTTCGTGATATTACTTATAGCATAAAGATATGTCTACTATACAGGTGTAATTATTAACGGTATTATAATATAGACAGAATAGAGAAACTGTAGAAGACTAAATATAGAGCGACTACGTTAAACGTCTTTTTTCATAAAATAACGAAGCTACTTCTGTGTTAAATTGACAAATCGTTTTGAGAATGTGGATGGTGAGGAAATCCTTCTTACGTACTCATTAAGTTCGTCATTTTTACTGGCTCCAACGTTTAAACAGGTTTCGATGTACAAGGTACAGAGAATCTTTTTTGACCCGTTTCATTAATCACGCAGATATGCTGAACGACGTATGAAAGAAAACGAGGTAATACAGTTACAGTTATAAGCAAATAAACATTTTTCGAATGTATACATACCAAAGTTACCCAAATAACGTAAGCCTTACGTAGACAGACATAGAAACCATAAACAAAACAGTAAAATGAAAAACTACGAAGCCATTTGATTTTATCATTAAGTTACAGCATTTATCCATTCACATATATGCGTTGATACCAAACTATCTCATTTTGTGCGCCAGTTTCTCGAAGGAGATAATGACAAGGAGCCTCATGTTATAGTTACAAGTGCATAGTTTTCTAAAATACTATAGACATAATACAGTTACGAATGAGGCCCAAATACCTAACGCTGACCAATAAAAGCTAGTTTTGTATCGTATCTAGTATTGTTTGTATAAAATGATAAACGCTGCTCACCACATTTTCTTAAGTATGGTACAGTATCTCCATGTATGTTTACAACTTCCTCTCTTACTTGAGTGCTGAAGTATTCGTAATTATCATAAAATGCTACGGACATGTTAGGAAACAGCAAGTGATTGGGAAGTCATGTTTAACGGGTATCTACGGTAGGTACGGGGCCGATCTGACTGACCTGTTGAAGGGTCGGCTGTCCAAGTTGTCCAAGAAGGGCCGCACCAGCCCAGGAAGAAACTTGCGTGGTGTGTCAGTGGGATAAAGCATATGAATAGTGGTCGGCTTGCAAATAAAGACCGTTTCCTGTAAAAATCTGCTTCGGTTTAGACACCCGAGCAGTATCCCAACCTGTACACAAATTTGCTGCTTTGCGTTGTGCATAAAAAATAGGGTTCCGCTTTATATCAACAATTAAGTTTAGATGTACATAAGTCAGAACTAACGTATAATGGTGACTTAATATATCAAAAACGTTAAAACTGGAATTACAACCACATCGTGCCACAGCAGTTAATAAACCATGAGTTATCCATTTTCCCAATCATAATAAATATATTTTAGCAAAAGATGACTAAGCTTTCAAATGCAAAGTATATCACAAACAGAATGAATGAGATATGTCACACTAACTAGCTATTTGCATGCTTATAAACCAATTTCAAAATACTTTTAATATGACTTGCAGTGTTTGTACTAAAATGTTTAGCCCACATGGCCTGTCCTAGCTTTTGGATAAACTAATTACCCTTTTCTGCCTTAGTTACAATTCGCACGTCTTTTAACCTTGTCAATTATTTGCCTATAACTTGGCTGTTCTTACTTGAGTGAGTATGTGCATTGCTTACTTGGCTTGTCACAAGTCTAGCCTATTTTTGTCTGACTAAAGATACTTAGTCACGCCTCATCGTATTGAATTGATTCACTCGCCTTCTTAGCTTCGCTTAGCTTTGCCTTTACGCTTCGCATCCTCATATCTGTGTACTTAAATGAACGTGTGAAATAAATTCATCCGTAAAACTGTTGGGTTTCTAATCACCGCCATCGCACAAATGGGGTTCACCTAAGGACGATATGCGGAAATTAGATGAAAGATTTGTTTCATAGCTTATTCAACCGTTCACCCCAAATTGGAGTCAAATCACGGGCCACTAAATTAGTGAGCCCTGCTTTGAATTCAATGCAACCACTAAAATCTCATCAGAAAGTTATTACTACAATGACTTAAGCAATCCAACTAACTCATAACTATGACTTGAGTAGCAAATATCTGTCAAATTCAATATCAGTTCAAAGCAAAATCAAAAAATATGCAAACCAGGCAACTATTCATTTAATAAAATAGTCTTAATCATGAAACTCATGTTCATTACTGAAATCATGAATTAATCATTGTTAGACCACCAATAGAAACCTGGAAGCACTGGACGGACGTTTCGCCCTGGTATGGGACTCACCAGCAGTGCAGATCAACGACCTCTGCTGCTCGCAGGATTCGAACATAGGACCTTTGGTCCTGCGCACGAACGCCTAACCTTTAAACCACTGTGCTGGCGTCCAACGCCGGCTATGTCTAATGTTAATCAATCCAGGGACTCTGAGCAACATCTTACATAGTTACTGACCATACCTGGCAGGGTTGAACTCCAATGGTCACGTCTTCTTACCAAGAACTCCGAGAATTTCCACACGAAGCTAGTCACTAGTGAGCCTATTGTACAATTTTTCAGTATAAAGTTATGGAGACTGTTGTCTATTACTGGATTCCCGCCCAGTGGTCCAGAGGCTAGGCGTTTGCATGCAAGACTGAAGGTCCTGGGTTTGAATCCTGCGAGTAACAGCAATCCTGGATGGGCATAGTTGATGAGTCCCATACAGGAACGAAACAGCCGTCCAGTGCTTCAAGGCTCCTAATGGTAGTCTAACAATGATTAATTCATGATTTCAGTAATAAAAAACTATTTCCATATCTCTATTATGAAAACTTCACATTCATATGAAAAAATTTAAGTAGATAATTTCCCAAAGTGGTAATTGCCTAAGTTGAAGAAGAAACTTAAAAAAATACAAATATACTACTGCATACAAACGAGTCCCTAAAAACTTCACGTGATGCTTCGTTCATGACATGATCAGCGAAATAGGTAATTAAATTCAGATTGCAGATGACAACTTACGTGCAGGTCACGGAAATTTTCATTATAGTCTAAAGCATAGCCGACAACAAATCGATTTGGAACTTCAAATCCAACAACTGAGCATTAGGTCAAAAAACAAAGAAAATACAGTAAGGATTAAGAAAATGTGTACATAATGTCTCTTTGTTAGGAAAACTTTCAAATCTATGCTAATGTGGAGCAAAGAATAATTTTGCTGAGCTAAGTGTGGAATGCCAACGGCAAAACAAAGTTTCAAATATCTAGCATCATTTAATAAAGGTGAACGCGCATCGTTTGCATAAGCTGGGCAGCGTGATAAAGGAATGTGAGAAGAGTTAGACATGTCGATAAGCAAGGTGTTAGGGGGAGAAGGAAGGATTCGTTTGTGACCAATTTGGTCTCAAGAGCTGTTACGGGTATGAGGGCGGATGTCTCTTGTCAGCTGCCCACACCGCGTGTGTTTCGCGAGGAACCTGGAATCGAAGTTCCATCCGTCAGTCGGCTACAACGAAGAACTTCAAACGAACGTAAATCAGTTCAAGTTGCCATACCGCATCAACACAGACGCAACTGTCAGTTCAAATCCGATAGTGGTAGAGATAGTAGAAGTATTAGCAGTTATCGAGAAGATGAGGGTTCGAAGATATGATTTGAGAAGTGTACTACAGTGAGAAAACTTTAGAAAGAGAAAGATAAAGATGACTTCAGAATGTTAAGATTTGGGAGGAAAGCAGGTCTATGACAAATTAAACAACAACGTAGAAAGTGGACATCCCGGACAGACACAACTTGAAGTAAATAATTTCCATGACAGTGCGCCATAAGCTCTAACTCGATCTGTAGTGTTAGAGTAGAGAGCTTGTAGAAGGTTAATGCACTTCTTTGGTACACCTTTCAATGACAGACACTTCCACACAACTTCACAGTCGACAGGGTTGAATGCCGCTTTAAGGAATATAACTATAGTTGGATCTCGAAATATGAGTCTATATTCTAGGATCTGACGAACAGAGAATATTTGGTTTACACCTCTTTTGCTTTCACTAATCACTACTGTGTGCGATCATTGCGTAGGCTTCTCCATCAGCTTGCGCTTAAGTTGATTCCATTCTTCGTCATATTCAGAGCCAGATAGGACGAGTTTCCGAGCATCTAATAGTTCGGTAGACGCTAATGAGATCCACCGCTTTTCCCTAGCCATATGGTATACCTTACTGGTAGATATCACTGCTGTTTCCTCAGCTTTTTGGACATCGTACCAAGCTGCCTCAGGGTGGGTGTCACTTACTACATGGTCGCCTAACTTTTTCTAGTTGTTGCTGTAATATTTTCTTACCTATGCTATCATTAGGTAGAACCCTAAGAAGTTTCCTTGCGGTGTCTTTCCTACGTCCAGTAAGCCGCAAACAAATACGTGATCGCATTAGGGCATGATCTGAATCTAAGCGTGTGTCTCAGAACGAGCGATAGTCCTCTATCGAATCCCTCCACCGGTGGCCCATAGCGATGTGATCTAGTTGGGTCAAGGGTTGGGACGACTTTGGGGGTTGCCATGTCAAAAGGTGTTTTCCCTTGTGCTTAAAGTTAGTATTTGCTAGAAATAGGCGGTTGTCTGAGCACACCTACAGCAGACGGTCGCCATTAACTGATCTTTGAGCCACAACACCATAAGATCCACCCGGGTGTCTCTCCTTTTCATTTAGTCTACCTACATGAGCATTGGAGTCACCGGCCATTATTACTATATCAGAGCGCCTAACTTTTTGGATAAGTTCTAAAACCTTTCTGTGAAACTCATTTTTAACCTCGTCTGAACTGCGGTCGGTTGGATTGTAGGCAGAGAAAACAAAAAGGCTTCCAGAAACACGAAGCGTAAACCGTGTTGTTTCTCTATCTACACTAGGCGAAGCCAAATTAATGATTTTACTCGGATCTTGTATGCGCGTTTCGGAGACGCAGCACACATCGATGGCGCGAGATTCTAAAGTCCTAGTTTATCAAGCCTATCGACCTATTTGGCACAAGCTTTGAATATTATAAGCTCCAATATGTAGTGTGAGGTGTGACATTTTCCAACCCCTTCCTTGTGAGAAGTCAGCATCGCCGCAGATGCTGGTTGTCCGAGGGAAACACTTTATTGCTCTCACAACCACCTACAGTCAGCATTACGATTCTCCCTCAGACCTTGACTAGCTGCTTTAAGCTCATCGTTCTCCAGTCGACCAGCCCGGCATGGTAGAACCTACAGGACAACATATTTCAGTCAATATAGCTCGGTTGAGTTATCACGATAGGCAAGCCCGACCATCACGTCAAGGTAGCAGCTAAGACGCGCTTGCTGACTTAGAGTATGCTAATGACATTGTTCTATTCGGTGAAGACGCTGACAAAATGCAGAGTCTTCTAACCACCCTAAGCAACAATACAAGAATGTTCGGGATGCGGTTTCCCCATCGAAATGCAAAATGTTGCTTCAAGATTGGGTTGCATCGGCACCTGAACTAGTGATAGGGAGTGAAGTAGTCGATCGTGTAGACCGCTTCACTTATCTTGGGAGTCTCATCAGTGCTGATAGCCTGGTGACTGACGAAATCTCAGCACGGATACCGAAGGCTCGATTGGCTTTTGCCAACCTGCGTCACTTATGGCGTAGGCGAGATATCCGTTTGCTGACCAAAGGAGAGTGTACTGCGCAGTAGTTCGCTCCGTTCTCCTATATGTATGCGAAACATGGCCAGTGAGAGTAGATGTTCGTAGGTTACTAGTATTCGATCATAGATGTCTTAGAAGCATTGCTCGTATATCGTGGGACAACCGAGTAAGCAATGCTGTCGTTAGGAAACGAGTACTAGGTAAGGATGGCAGATCAATAGATGAGATGGTGAAACTTCATCAGTTGAGGTGGTTGGGACATGTATTACGAATGCCTAACCACCGACTGCCTCGAAGAGCTATGTTTTGTGGTGTAGGAATAGGTTGGAAGAAAGTTAGGGGCGACCAGATCAAAACATGGCATAAATCGATGAAGTCACTGACAAGCGGACTGGTTGGAGTCCGCGAGACGAAAGTAACCGGCGGCTAGAGAACTCGAACACGATGGCTTAAAACCGTTTGCAATGGAGCAGGTGCATTCATTCATTGTTTTCTCTCAAATCCTAACCTTCTGAAATCATCGTCATCTTTATCTTTCTCTTTCTAAAGTTTTCTCATTGTAGTACACTTCTCAAATCATATCTTCGAACCCTCATCTTCTCCATTACTGCTAATGCTTCTACTATCTCTACCACTATCGGATTTGAACTGACAGTTGCGTCTGTGTATATGTGGTATGGCAACTTGAACTGATGTACGTTCGTTCGAAGTTCTACGTTGTAACTGACTGACCTAATAGTGGTGTAAATCCTTTCAACGTTATGGTCAACAGATTCATAATAACCATGAAAATTAAAAGTTAATTTCACGAAGATCTTTGAAATGCATACAAGCCAAATTTGGGAGATGCAAACAGTTACGAAAATCAACTTACTACATACTTACGCTGGCATTAAATATACTTGACCCTGTTGTGTAGGGCGTACCCATCACTAGCAAGGTTACATGGTATGAATAGTTTTGTTGAGTGTACTGTTATATTACATTTTATAAGACACTTGAAAAGTACAACCATCTCACTATTCTGAGAAAGTCGTTACATTTAACGTATGTTAGAGCATTGTTAGAAGTTACGTAAGATTAAGTTGTGTGTGATGCAAGTTCATGCAAACAGCATAGCGTGAAACTGCATTTTTGAGAACTGGTGATAACTATGTCTGAAAGTGAGTGAAGGGGTTTTTGAATCTGCAACTTGATGGATAAGAGTTGATGACTTCTGTAAATAGACTATCAATCAATATTCAAGCGACTACTGGTTTAACGACCAGTCATGTACTAGGGACACTTAATTGTATTTCAGTAAATGTTCATCGGGAGACCGATGTTTATCTACAGCATCCAATTGAACATCCAGAGGCAGTATTCCTAAAGATAAAGTAACAGGTTCTCAAGAAATCAACCAGACATTCTTGAAATGGTAATAGCGTCAGGTAGTCACTACGAAAATGTGCTAATAAAAATACTGAGTCAGTTTAAAATAGTTGTCAGCAACCGTTACTTCCTTGACTTTCCTCAGATATGTAGTCAAATTTAGTGGACTGAAAACAATTAATTATATGCAATATATAGAACATTTTCCGCGTTTTTGTGATCCACAAACGTAAGTGAGAATGAACAATACAAAGCAAGTCCGACTTATTGAGACAGGTTTTCATTGTCTGAGTGTTAAAACAATGATTTGGATCAAACAGATTAAGCTTTAAAAGTTACAGAAATGTACTTACAGTCTGGTCGGTATTTACTCCTAGGCCATGTACGTTTGACAAGGAGACTAAAGAAAATATATTTCGAAAATCTCATAAAATATCGTACAAAGCTGATTTTTATAAACTTGAAACTTTTCATTTATTTTGCAACTTGTCTGCTTTATCTAATAAATATCATACGGTTCTCACTTCCGGAAATAAAGTTAACAATTTGCTGTGAATAGAGTAAAGACTGATGAGCCTATTTACGAGAATTTATACATTATTCTTCAGTCTTCACTTGCATATCACTGTGACTAATACTTACCTAATTTGGAGAAAGTCAAGTAATTTACTCAAAGTGACAAACATTCAAGTCCCTAAACAAACGGTTGGCTTAAAGGAGGACACTATTGATTTTACGAAATCGATGTAGCGATAAATGATATAACTTTTAATGACTCGAATCATCATACTAAATGTAAGCAGATCACAAACCATTCTCATAGTCTCATGATGGCTACATATTCACTTAAATCACGAAAAACAGTAAATATTCTCGAAACTAATACTGAAAAAAGGTTGAAATTAGGCACCCTAATGTCAGAAACAGCACTGGCGATCGACTTGACAGCAGTGTCAGCCTAATTTTCAGAGAACTACAGTAACTGAGTACTGGACTGCAAATGTCTTTAATTTATAGATACGCGACGAATGCTGTACATACTAACTATGGAGTAACAATAAAGTGTTAACATCTGTCACATCAAACATATCATTCACTGTGGACCTCTGACCAATTGCAGTGACCTTAAGTTAAGCATGTGATTCGGGAAAGCTTAAAATTCTGAATCACAAAGACAACTTAGATATACATACCAGTGAAAAATATAAAAACAAAGCCATACGAGGCCCATGAGATCGAATCAAAAATAGGTAAATATTTCAAAACATACCTCGCAACCTTAACACTCTTCGTCGACAAATTGGCCAAGTGATCTATTAGTTTAGTTATTGTTCTTCCTGTATCAATTATATCTTCGACGACGAGAACATTCTTACAAAAAAATATGACTTGTTAGTGAAATACCTTATCTTTGTACTCCGAAGAATCTCCTAAACCAGTTAGTAAAGGCTCGTGAGCACTGACATCATTCTAAAAAATCTCGTAAAAATTGTTTTACTAGATGACATACAACGTAACTCTTAACACGAACAAACTCAACTGACGTCGGCAGGACGATACCTCGAGCGCGGACAGTACGTTCCAGAGTCTCAACAAGATCTGCAAGGAATCTAAATCCACCTTTGAGGACACACATGAGTGTGATCGAGTTTGCATTACGGGCTTCGTAATAGTCGACAATATCCATTGACATTTTTTCAAGTCTTCAGAGTAGTTATTTTAACTGCATAATTTACCTATCTTTAATCATTCCATTTGGAATAAGAACATAATCTAAGCAACCGTCATACCGAGGAGATGTACAAAAATATTCCGTAGGATATCCTCGAAAGCTGTCCTCTATCTGAAGAGATAAGAAAAAAGGCGTGCTACCACAACAGAATTAACCTTCAGCGTGTCACTGGTCATGTCGTGGACCTAACTGTTTGAATGGTCGTTGTTATCAAGGACAGAGAAGTCCATCTACATGAAAGGACATATTAACAATCCGCACTTCAACATCCAATATATCAAATATCTTTGTCAGTAGCTGTAATAGGATTTCTTTGAGATCGCCTCTTATTTTTCCGATATGTTTTTAAGTATCTGGTAATATCCAATGATTTGTATCCTAACAAATTTACTGCATCAATTCAAGTTACTTACGTAGTTATTTCCAAAATCCAATATCTTTTGCACGAGCTAGTATAAACCCATTTGTTTCTTTGCGCTCGATTCCTGTTCTTTCAGTATGGTTCCAGGTGTTCGGAAGTGTCTTGTACATGGTGGTCTAGCCACTCTACTGCACTAATTCTAGTCAGTTGGCAGTTGTTTGTAAGATTGTATGTCCAGTGATTTGAATGAATACGTTTGTTTCAGGGCAGTATGGTTTCTGGATACCAGCAGCTATCACATTACCAGACCGTAGATCAGTCAGTTGCAAAGTGGAGAACAATAAGGATAAAATTCTAATGCTAATAAGATTTTAGAGCTCAGTAAATGAATGAATAATTCCGTTTATTAATGAATAATGGTGACTATTCATAAGTTTAAGTGAGGTAAAGTAACAGAGATAACATGAGAGGTTAGTTAAATGAGGAAACTGCAATAAAAACTACTTGCAAGTCCTATGGCGTGCATCAGGCGCAGCTTGCTCAAGAGAGATGATAGTCCGCATGTGAGTACGTGATTATCAAGTCTCTTTCTATAGTTGTCAACCTGGGGTTCTGTGGTTAGCTCGGCTGGGAAAGTATTGCAACTTTCCACGACCCTCATTGAGAAAAAGTGTGCACGAACCTGGGAGTCTGCTCTTTGAAGCGCAATTTTTCGACCATCGCCTCGACGGTCATGGTTGTGATGCATCGGTAAGGTGCTTACGTTGGGATAGTTTGGCGTGCTTACGGCGAATACTCCAAAATACTATGGTCTATCTTCTTAGGTTTTGTTCTTCAGCTCTATGAACGATTTCGTTGCTCGTCTCTGTACTCGATCCGAGGAATTTATGTCTCGTTTATAAAGTGGGGATGCGACGACATTGTGAACCTCTTGGTGTTGGCGCGCATATGTCTTAACACGTTATCAATAACTTTGGGGTGATAGCATCAAGTTTTTATCGCATCATATAAAGAGTTGCCTTTGCCTTGGTTGCTCATGCTATATTGTTCAAAATGATGCGGAGGCTTATAGTGATTAGTGAACCGAGATTGCTTTCCAAGGTGGGATTACAATAAGCTAAGGGCATGATTATTATGGGAGAATTTGTTGAAATTTCAGTGACATAGGTCGGTGTTTCACAGAAAAACCCGGATTGGGAGACAGAGGGGAGAATTTTAACGCATCAGAATCTGAATGGTGTTTGTAAGCGTTGTAACGAACAACTGGTGGTTGAGAATCATCGCTACTTAATTTCAAAGCAGTTCGCAACAAAAATGCGATAAAAGTATATGCCATCAGTCAGAAAATTCATATCTAACATTCCACTTTGTGTTTATTGATATTCCTCCCCGGCAGTAAGTTCGGAGAAATTTCAGAACGATAGCGAAAAGCTTCAGGATACTATAATGAGTTGAAATAAATTTACACCTTCGCGGGATTACTAAGTTAAATCCCGATAAAGTCGAGAAGTCAGAGTAAAGACTGTTATGGAAGAAGAAGTATATTTATCGCTAGCCTTGTGATATCGAAATAATATGGAGTCCAGAATACAGGAGCGGCTAACAACCACCAAGGAGAGAAACGGAATGGGAAAGACACGCTTGGCGCATGAGTGATAGTCTTTAGTACCGATAAACAAAAGGAGTGCAATATAACAATTAGTTTCAGAATCAAATACAATAATAAATGTTTATATTTCAGCATTTGTGTTATCTTTGTAAAAGTATACAACTACATTAGCCCCACCTAGAAAGGTTTTGCACTTTCGATACGTAGCGGTTTCGTGCGGAGGAGGGCTGGTCGGCTAACTGGAGATTGTAAGGCGGAAGGAATGACGGACAGGAAGGAATTGTTAACAAATGTCTTTTACGTTGAACTTTACCATCAGGTTCGTGCAAGGTTTGTTGTTCGGGTTGGCGTGCTACACTAGCGTGGCTCGTTTCCAGGGTCAGAAGACTGCGTTTGTACCAGAATAAACTACAGACTCAGGACGGAACCAGATTGAGCGAGGGAGCAAGAACGACCAAGTTCAAAACCATACGTATACAAGAACATTAGAAACCTAAACATCAACTGAGAGCATTGACAAGAGCGGTGGGGATCAGGCCAGCTTTCACCAAGATTGGATGAAGTGGACGGTACCAACTGGGCGATGGTCGCATATATGGGCTCAGGATACAAAATGAAAAACAGAGAAAGGTGTAGCATTATAGTAGCTCACAATTCATTCATTGTACTTTAATAATTAGTCGTTTGAATTATTCGATAATTTCATCGACCATAATTTTGCATTTGTAATAATTCAATTACAGTATCGGTTATTGTATATTTGATTGTGTGTGGATGTTGTATTGTTTGTTACATGTCTAGCCTATTATTGCTTGGCTATAAATACTAAGCCACTCTTCAGCTCACTCACCTTCTCCAATTCGCTCCGTTTTGTCTGTACGTTTCGCTTCTCATATTTTTCTGCATAACTGAACGCTTGAACTAAATTCATCCGCAACACCGTATTTGGCTTCTTATTACCGCCTAATTATAATATACGGAAGTGGAAAGGAAAATTTATTTTACTGACAGGCAGTGTTCGCATCTACACAGACAGTTTTAAGACGTCTACTGATATACATAAAATCTTTGCTTCGTGATTTGAAAAAATTCCTCAGGCAGACGCAATGTCGTGCTTTATACCGTTTCAGCGGTGGAACATTGCTCATCTGTCTTTAAGCTCGTTTCAGTAACATTATACCGTTTTCAGAAAAAAATATGTTGCTAATCTTAACATTTTGATCTTGCCTGTAAATTGGCATGTCTCTTGTAACATGTTTGTTATTTGAGAATAAATTATTATTATTATTATTATTATTATACCTAAGAGAACGAGCGGGAAGGCTTCGTACCAACTGTTGCTTTAGTGTGCCCGAAGAGCACATTTAGGTTGGCGGAGAAACCATTCAACTAAACTTTTCAAAGCTGAGTGATAGATGGTAGTGCGTATGCGCTCCATACCAAGCAGCCGGGTTAGCGAGGAGAATAGTTTGGACTCCAGCTGTTGTCCTCGGTCAGTTGTGACAGTCGACGGACAACCGTACAGCCCTATCCATCGTTCTAAGAAGCGGTGAGTAACTGTTTCTGCAGTAATACAAATGATGGGAACAGCTTTGGGCCACTTTGTGAAACGATCGATGCACGTGAGTATATGATCATACACACGCGATGGTGAAAATGGTCCCACAATCTCGATATTAACATGGTCGAAGCGAGCATCAGGCGTAGCAAATGTGCCGATAGGGGATGATACATGTCTGTGCACTTTTGATCGTTGATATTCTAAGTATTTCCTTACCCACATACGGACATCTTTATTCATGGGCGGCCAGACGTATTATGTAGCGATAAGACCAGTATGAGACAATCCATGAAGGGCATCAAAGACGAGACGACGATGAGCAGAAGGTACAGTTGTTCGGGGTAAATCAGTAGAGTTGTCACACACGACAGTACTTGAGCTGGTAGCTAGGGGTACTTCTTGGCACTGAAGGGATGTAGATTGTTGTGCTTCGGTACACGAGGGATCATTTGCTTGGGCAGCGGCCATAGCAGGAAGTTCAAGATAAAGAGATCGAATTCACTTGGACGTGTGATGGAGCATCGGGCACCACAGTTCGACTCCCCTTATGATGACGAAGGTCTGTCGTGAACTGACAGATGTAATCCAAATGTCTGCATTCTCGTGGTGAGTAGCGGTCAGACTTGGTATGCAGGGCATACATTGGAGATTTATGGTCGATTAAGAGGATAAAGTTACGATCTTCTACTGCGTAACGGAAATGTTTGTTGTCACAGTAGGTTGCTAGCAGTTCCGCGGCCAAAAGCGCTGTTTCTCGTCTCCGTAGGAGTAAGACGTCGTGAGAAAGATTCGAGAGGTTACCAACTTCCAGAGATGTTATGTCGCATAACGACTCCTATAGCAAAATCTGATGCATCAACCGCTAAGCAAAGCGTGGCTGATGGGTCAGGATGGGCGAGAAGCGTGACTTCAGCTAGAGCTTTTTTAGTCTCTAAAAATCCAGTACGTGCTGCGTCGTTCAATTCTAATTTACGTGGATTACCGCAAGTAAGTCGGTGCATGGTCGTAACTGTTCTGCCGCGTGAGGAATGAAACGTCGGTAGAAGTTAATCAAACCGAGAAAAGCCTTCAGTTCCTTGAGTGAGGACGGTACAGTGTACTCCATGATTGTACGCACTTTATCTTCACAAGGTAGAATACCCTCATACTTAGTGATGTGACCCAAGAATTTTATTTCTGGCCTGCCCAGTTCACAGTTGTACGGGTTGACCATCATTCCATTGTCCAAAAGGCGTTCTAATGAGAGTGTAAGATTCTGATAATTTCCATCTGCGTTTGATGATGTGGTTAGCAGGTCATCAATGTAAACGTAAACAAAAGCAAAGTCTTGTAATATGCTATCGATAAATCTTTGGAAAGTTTGAGCAGCATTTCGTAGTGCTGTAGGAAATCGATACCGAGTATAACTGTGAGAACATCGGAAATGATGAACGTCCATAGATACTGTCGTTGGGTGCTCAGGTTGACTGTCAACTGTCGTGTACCGTGGGTAGGAATGACAGAGCCATTCGCATCGCGTATTCGAAGCATCGTAGGTTGAGAAATGCTGCTACTAAGTGGTGCGGCAGACGAGGTACCTAGCGTTAGTGCGGATATCGTGCCCGTAAAACAGGCGGCTAACCTAAGGTGAGGGGCAGGTGAGTACGGACGCGTCTACTCGTCGGCTTGGAAGTTTCCTGCCTCGTGTGAACAGGGAGCTCGACAATGACGGGCATCAGACCTAAAAGTCTGGTGGAACCAGCAACAGCCGGTACTCGCTTTCGAAGCTGCCTATTGGCGTGGCTTGTAAGATGCCCTCTGGGTGCGAGTACTTGCAGCCTTTCTTGATCGAGAGCGGGCTCGTGGGACGTGGGGTTCAGGAACGAAAGAACGGTCTCGAAATTCGAGCCTGAAGGTGATTATCGTCGAGGTCAGCGTTTGCGTGTGACGTAGAGGCAACGATGTAGTTGGCTCTCCAGCTGATCCGCGCCATTATCATGTCTGCTACGAGGGCAGCCTTGTTAATTTGCGCATCCTCTAGCAGAGTTGTGATCGTTGATTGCACGTGAGCTGGTAAATCTCCGAGCCACAAATCTCTGACTATGTCACAGTCAGCTGTCGTGAGTTCTGCCAAGGATTGCAGGCGCGTGAAGTGGTGGTTTGGTTTTGCATCACCTAAGAGATGACGTGCTAATAATGTTCCAGGGCGTAGGCAAACATTTGCCGATGGTTAGTGATACGGCGGATTTCAAACTGAGATTCCAGTGCCGCGAACCAGGCCTCTGGGGAATAAACGTGACAGGTCGAAAATCAAGTACCTGTATTTGGGAGTTTAATAGGGTATCGTCATTTTTCGGTCTATCTACCTTTTCAAACGCTTTTGTAGTTATTATATACATATATGAGAATATTGATATATACTACACAACAGGTAAAATAGTAGGAAAACTGGATAGAAAAACGACAGACTCACCGTACTGAATTCGTGTTCGTAGTCGTCGCTCACCAGTTATAGTGAGTTGAAATAAATTTACACCTTCGCGGGATTACTAAGTTAAATCCCGATAAAGTCGAGAAGTCAGAGTAAAGACTGTTATGGAAGAAGAAGTATATTTATCGCTAGCCTTGTGATATCGAAATAATATGGAGTCCAGAATACAGGAGCGGCTAACAACCACCAAGGAGAGAAACGGAATGGGAAAGACACGCTTGGCGCATGAGTGATAGTCTTTAGTACCGATAAACAAAAGGAGTGTTACGTCCAATTTTTTGCTCCTTGATCCTTAGAAGCACTGTGTGTCGATCTATTTGCATTTCACGAACCCAAAGATTATATCAGAACGAAACTCCAATGTAGGTACCAAAGTTTATTGCCAATTCACAAATAATCGACCAAAATGTTGTTTGTTTATTACAAATACACGACCAATGTCGTTCTTCTATTTTATAGATTCCTGGAGCAAAAAACTGCAAACGAACAACCAAGACAAACAGGAGTCCAAAAATGGCCGAAAATAATAATTCAAACAAGTTCATAAGTTAAGTAAAACAAATATACCCAAAAAACACAGTGAAATTAATGATATTTATATAAAGGTTTTGATCAGCAAAATGTCTTCATTCCTCCCGTAACAAGGAGTGCAATATAACAATTAGTTTCAGAATCAAATACAATAATAAATGTTTATATTTCAGCAATTGTGTTATCTTCGTAAAAGTATGCCACCACTACACTCTGAAAGCCCCCTGATGAATCCGGTGTAGAATCTAGAAACGAATCAGAAAGTGTAAACGACTACAGAATTTATTTGTTGTTCATTAAGCTTTCCCTTTCAAATTTTCTATACGGAAGCGAGTCGCGTTTTAGGAAATTCGTACGCATCTTAATAATAATATACTTATTATCGAGCGAAATTGTAATATAGAATGTATGTCAGTTAAGAAGCGAGATCTGATTTTTACAAATGCTACAAAAGTTACTGTGGGAAGTTTCGTGGTTTGATTGATATTTTTTATAAGACGCATAAGTGGCAATGTTAGGGACACTCAAATTTTTGTTACAGTGTGATAAATCGTTTGAAAGTAAACTTCACTACCTGCGGTTATATCGTGAAATGAATTTTTTACGCAAACTAAAAGAAAAACCCCAAACACAGCATTCTATCCATGGTGAGACGAACCAAAGTAACAAATACAACGCAGAAAGTTTTAAATTTCATAAATAATTGTTTCTTACAAACCCTGCGAGGATATCTATATCAATCTCCCTGAACTTATAACCTCTTCAAGACCGAGTAGCGTTTACCATGCAGATGTAATCATATATGACTAAACACTCAACGTGATAGACATTATCATCAATGGCTGAACATAGGCAGACAATTTTTTGTTCTGTTGAAGAATAAAAGGCTACTTAGCAATGCAATACGTCGTTTCATTCCGGTATCATTCAAGTATACACACTTACGGAGAAAAAATCTCCTGAATTTATGAGCATTGAAATAACCAAATCACATTTTATCCATTGTCTTTATTGAGTCCAGTTGTAATTTTACCATCATCTCATTCAGACTAATTTACTGGTTTATTTCCTTGCCAGTTATCAAATTTGTTTACTTATTTCATCCTATACCCTTATTATCGTGTTAATGCTTTTTATCGTAATTTCTAAAACTTTTACATCACAACCAACTAATTAAGTGAATTGTTCTGAGATAACGACTATTTGTATTAATGCCGATGACCCTGGACAAACACATTGATTTATATGTACCAACCTCTAAATGACTACCTTGTTCATAAGAAATATTGTACTCTGATGACATAAGGGACATGGAGCACAATCTTAGCACCAAACCCAGGTTCAAAGAAATTAACTAGTTTCTCTGCAGTCCCTAAAATACTTAAACGAATTGCCAAAACAACCTTGGGGAAATACCAGAAACTAGAGACACGTATAGCAACATGGACTTCAAGAACTCCTTATAATCCTTCATAGTAATTATTTTCTAAATTTCGTCAAAGACTAAGTTGGTTTAAGTGACTTCCCGAGTCCTTTGTGAAGAAACAGGACATACTGTTAAGGGACCATAACTTACTAATAATTGTCTTTTACTCATTGAATATCGCTGGAGGCATCAGTGGTTCATTGCTATTAGATATGGAAGCCTGTTAAGCTCCTTCTAATCCGTCCACAACCAATCACCATTTAAACACCAGCACGTCACAGTGGTATTGGATATTGAAGGACCTTAAGGCTTCTTCAAAGTATTGTGAAGACGTTTGGTCATAAGGTATATTTTGGTGGTTTTTCAATACCTTTTTGAATTATTTCTATGGTTTACAAACTTTGAATAGTTTTATACGTACATGCGGATTTTTATTCATCGTACTCTTGATGTGCTCTCGAGTTTGCCTTGTTTCGCTACACAATAAATTAGGTGGTTCACAAACAGGATTAGCACTGAATTTTAATATATTGTTCTCAGTCTTCTAGTACAATTTTCGCACCGGAATACGGTAATTTCACTTCTGTTGCGCTTAGTCAGCTCCCAATCCCCCTTCCCATCGATAATATTCATTTAGTAATATTTTACTAAATAAGGGTATAGCTCTGTCCGAGAAATATATTCAGATTCCAAATACAAAATAGTTGGAATTTTAACATCATAAAATTTTATCAGGTTCATCGATTTCGAAAAGGAATGTTCCTTAAGTATAAAATCACTGTCTGTAAACAAGGAGCTTCCATTTAAGGAAATTAAAAGGCATTTACCACTTACCCCATTTCTATAAAGGTAGAATTCCAACTGATGATTCAACAGAAACTTTTAAATTAACAATATTGAACATAAGACTGCAAAATCATTGCTGTTCCTCTCTCTAAGCATATGAGAGACGGAGTAAGTTATTTAGTCAGCTACAACGAAGAACTTCGTACGTATGTACACCACTTCAGGTTGCCATACCACATTATCACCGAAAGATCAAGTCTTAAATTCAAATCCTAAAGTAGTAGAGGTAGTAGAAGTATTAGCCGTAATGAAGATTAGGGTTCGAATCTATAATTCAACAAGTATAATCCAGTGAATTAAACTTAAAAAGAGAAAGATAAAATTCAAGAGGTGTTCGTGAGATTAAAATCCTAAAGAACACAAAGAATTAATGCGCGTGTTCCATTACGAACGATTTGAAGCCTTATCATATTATTGTCATACTGACCCCAACCTGGTGGTCTACATTTGCTAACATGGCTCAGTCCACTTGTCAGTGACTCCATAAATTTGTACCGCGTTTTGGTTTGACCGACCTCAGCTTTCTTTCGACCTACCCATAAATCTAAAAACATCGCTCATTGAGGCAGTCGCTGGTTGAGCATTCATAAAACATGTCCCAACCACCTCAACTGGTGACGTTTCACTACATCATCGATTGACTTGCCATCCTTACCTAGGACCCATTTCCTAACGACAGCATTGCTTACTCGGTGGTCCCAGGTTATAAACGCAATGCTTTTAAGACCAGTAACCCACAAATATCTTCTCCTCTCACTGGCCACGTTTCACAGCTAAAATGTAGGACGGAGAGAACTGTTGCACAGTACACCCGTCCTTCGGTTAGCAGACGTATATCTCGCCCCCACTATAAGTGACGCAGGTTGGCGAAAGCCATTCGAGCCTTCCGTATATGTGCTGAGATCTCGTCCTACAACAAGCCGTCAGCAACGATGAGAAACTCAAGATAAGTGAAGCGGTCAACACACTCAACTGCCTCATTTCCTATACCGCTGACCTTGAGAGATTAATAGACTTGTTAAACCAATAATAATGATACCTGACTGTAGCTGCTACCTTGACGTTGTGGTAACGCTTGCCCATCGTCATAAACAAACCGAGCTATATTGACTGAAATATATTGTCCTGTAGGTTCTACCATGCCGGGCTGGTCGACTGGAGAACGATGAGCTTAAAGCAGCCAGTCAAGGTCTGAGGGAGAATCGTAATGCTGACTGTAGGTGGTTGTGAGAGCAATAAAGTGTTTCCCTCGGACAACCAGCATCTGCGGCGATGCTGACTTCTCACAAGGAAGGGGTTGGAAAATGTCGACCATAAAAATGTCACACCTCATCTTACCTCACGCATTTCCGTCTCCGGCGGTGAGGCTTCTTGAAGAGCAGAGCTAACACTTCCCAAACCTCCCGAAAAAGGACTTGTGTGGCCGACCTCAAGCAGTTGTCGATTGGGCTCTGTAGTCACGCTCCCAGGTCTCCAAGAACAATACTAATCTGACTACTTTTCAGGTTCCTCAAGAAACGCCCTTCCACGGTGTGGACAGCCGGGATGTGATATCCGCCTCCATACTCGTTACAGCATACTAGACCATATTAGTTACAATCAAATCCTTCCCACACCTCATAGTATCTCTCATATCTCCATGACTAACTCTTCTCACACGCCTTTATAACCACGCACCGCTAATGCAAACGATTCGAGTTCACGAAACGTTTTTCCCGGTATCCTGAAACCCCGTTCTGAACTACATATTGGAGCTTATAATATTCAAAGCTTGTGCCAAATAGGTCGATAGGCTTGATAAACTAGGACTTTAGAATCTCGCGCCATCGATGTGTGCTGCGTCTCCGAAACGCGCATACAAGATCCGAGTAAAATCATTAATTTGGCTTCGCCTAGTGTAGATAGAGAAACAACACGGTTTACGCTTCGTGTTTCTGGAAGCCTTTTTGTTTTCTCTGCCTACACTCCAACCGACCGCAGTTCAGACGAGGTTAAAAATGAGTTTCACAGAAAGGTTTTAGAACTTATCCAAAAAGTTAGGCGCTCTGATATAGTAATAATGGCCGGTGACTCCAATGCTCATGTAGGTAGACTAAATGAAAAGGAGAGACACCCGGGTGGATCTTATGGTGTTGTGGCTCAAAGATCAGTTAATGGCGACCGTCTGCTGTAGGTGTGCTCAGACAACCGCCTATTTCTAGCAAATACTAACTTTAAGCACAAGGGAAAACACCTTTTGACATGGCAACCCCCAAAGTCGTCCCAACCCTTGACCCAACTAGATCACATCGCTATGGGCCACCGGTGGAGGGATTCGATAGAGGACTATCGCTCGTTCTGAGACACACGCTTAGATTCAGATCATGCCCTAATGCGATCACGTATTTGTTTGCGGCTTACTGGACGTAGGAAAGACCGCAAGGAAACTTCTTAGGGTTCTACCTAATAATACCATCCGACGGGTCTCAATCACTGATAGTCCCAATTTATAAGGAAGGACAAAAGTCCTCTTGTGACAATCACCATGGAATCACTCCAACTAATATAGTTTCTAAATTTTTAGCCTCGGTTATACTTATACGCCTAACTAGAGCTTTTGAAGAGCAGACTAGAGTAAACCAGTCTGGTTTCAGACCTGCATGTGGCTGTATAGACCAAATATTCTCTGTTCGTCAGATCCTAGAATATAGACTCATATTTCGAGATCCAACTATAGTTATATTCCTTAAAGCGGCATTCAACCCTGTCGACTGTGAAGTTGTGTGGAAGTGTCTGTCATTGAAAGGTGTACCAAAGAAGTGCATTAACCTTCTACAAGCTCTCTACTCTAACACTACAGATCGAGTTAGAGCTTATGGCGCACTGTCATGGAAATTATTTACTTCAAGTTGTGTCTGTCCGGGATGTCCACTTTCTACATTGTTGTTTAATTTGTCATAGACCTGCTTTCCTCCCAAATCTTAACATTCTGAAGTCATCTTTATCTTTCTCTTTCTAAAGTTTTCTCATTGTAGTACACTTCTCAAATCATATCTTCTACTTGATTTAGACGCTAACAAAATGCACATTCTTCTGACTACCCAAAGCAATGATGCAAAAGGTTGCCTTAGGATTGGCTTGTACTGGCACCTGACCTAGTGATAGGGAGTGAAGCAGTTGAGTGTGTTGACCGCTTCACTTATCTTGAGTTTCTCATCGTTGCTGACGGCTTGTTGTAGGACGAGATCTCAGCACATATACGGAAGGCTCGAATGGCTTTCGCCAACCTGCGTCACTTATAGTGGGGGCGAGATATACGTCTGCTAACCGAAGGACGGGTGTACTGTGCAACAGTTCTCTCCGTCCTACATTTTAGCTGTGAAACGTGGCCAGTGAGAGGAGAAGATATTTGTGGGTTACTGGTCTTAAAAGCATTGCGTTTATAACCTGGGACCACCGAGTAAGCAATGCTGTCGTTAGGAAATGGGTCCTAGGTAAGGATGGCAAGTCAATCGATGATGTAGTGAAACGTCACCAGTTGAGGTGGTTGGGACATGTTTTATGAATGCTCAACCAGCGACTGCCTCAATGAGCGATGTTTTTAGATTTATGGGTAGGTCGAAAGAAAGCTGAGGTCGGTCAAACCAAAACGCGGTACAAATTTATGGAGTCACTGACAAGTGGACTGAGCCATGTTAGCAAATGTAGACCACCCGGTAAGGGTCCGCTAGACGATAGTAGTCGATGGTTAGAGATGTTGAACGACATGGCTCAAAATCGTCTGCATTGGCGCACATGATACCATTTTCTGTGTATTCTCAAATATATATCTTTTGAATTCTACACAACCGTGTTTTCTCTTTCTTTAATTACTTCTTCTGGGGTGTACACTGTGAATGATATATTCAGTCATTAATATTTTTTGATTACTGATAATACTTCTAGTACCTCTACTACTATGGAATTTGAATTGTCATTTGCTTCTCTGTGTTAATGTGACATGGCAAATTGAACTTTTGTACATACGTATGTGGTTCTATGTTGTGACTGACTACACGTGCCAACATGATTCTTCGAGATAGGGGTAGTTCGGTCTAATGTAGTGCATGTCGTAATTACCTCGATTGATAAATATTGCCTACTTCAAATGATTAGACATTGACTGTGTACGATAACATTTTTATAGACGTTGTTCAATCAATTAACTGATATTTTACTCATGTTTCCATCATAAACTACACAATTTTGTCATGGGAATATTCCAATGGTATAAAATTCTTTTTTAAATTGATAGAGTCTACTAATGGCAGACCACTGATTAATAATAATCTTTTTTAATTGGATCGAACTATTGCAATTGTATGAAACATTATTAATGTCGTTTGGGCTTATGCATAAAAACAAAATTCCCTGTTGGAAAATCGACTTTACTTTCATTTAGTACTTAATAGTCCACTATGGTCACTGATTAGAATATAAACTGCACTACCTTACGAGTTGGTGTTGTTATCACGCATAAT